CCACTGTACTTCCCCTTACATTGTGCTTTAAGTTGACATCAGGCTGTGTCCCCAGTGGCAGCCATCTTGCCACCTACAGCCCCAGGAGGGGACTCAGGCCTCTGACCACATGTGAGAAATAAGCAACAAAGGCCTGTCCCCACTAACCCCACTCCTCCTTGGTCAAAGACCATAGAGAGGACAAGCCCTGTGCCTCCTGTCAGAGGCTGCTTTCAGCAAGATGTGGCCCCCTCAGCCTCACGCTCTGCACCACTTTTTCTCCATGTCACACACCCAGGGGTCCAGGACAGATGGGAGGCAACTGGTCACAAGGATGCTGGGAAACAGCCTTCACCCCACTGTGTTATGAGGTGGGAGCAGAGGGTGGGCTGTGCCCAGCTGGGCAGGATGAGGGGTGGTGCAACCCACAAGGCGCAGGTTGTCCTGACCTGGGAAACAACTGGCTCAAGGGATGGGGAAGCACTGAGAGGCGCAGGAGGCCAGGTTCCCAAATATCATCTCAGAGCTCATCACCCCCTGCCCCAACTTGATAGGACTCCAGCCAAGGTAGGGCTTTGCAGCTGCTAATTTCAAACCAGGGCCAGCTGGTAGGGTTCTCTTGCCAGGGAAGGGCCAGCAGACAGAAACAGAAACTCTGAGGAGTTGGCTGCCCCGGTGCTTTCCCACTTCCTGCTGGTCAACAGTATGCACACAGCTCAGAGCAGGGCCAGCCTAGTCAGGGTTGAGGAGGCTCTGCAGGGGAAGGAAGGAAATGGTCCAGGCAGGAGGCAAAAGGGAAAAGATGGGAGATCATGGGCACCCCACAGGGCCAAGGTGCCGGAGCGCTGCTCAGGATGGCGGCCTGAGCCTCGCGGACACTCATGTCATCTCACGTCAGAGCCGGCCGGTTGGCACACTGCCCTGTGACCCTGACCCCACCTCCTGCAGCACTTAGGCCCTGTGCAGGTGTGCTGAAGGCCAGAGGGCGCGGAAGGCTTCCAGGTAGGCCTGGGAGCCCTCCAGGTTCCGGGGCCACTGTCCCTGACCACTCCAGGGCACTGAGATAAACTGGAAACCAGGGCTCACTGCCACGGGGAGAATCTGAAGCCCATTTTCTGGGCCCTCCACATCTGGAACCACAGCTGGAACGACGACGAGGCTCTGTACAGAACGGATAACCGCTGGCAACAAAAGTAGCCCCGGAGTCACAAGCACGGTGGCAACAAAAGTAACCAGTGGCTGACAGCCGCCTGGCCGCGGCGGGTCCGCGGTGCCCCAGCTCAGCGCAGGACGAGCCGGGACGCTGCGCCCGCGGGGCCGACGGCGGGGCGGCTGGGAGCCCACCGCCCGGGCCAGAGGCCGGCGAGGCCGCGGGGCCAGAGGCGGGCCGTCAGGATCAGCCGCGGCCATCGGACGGGGCTGGCCTGCGCCCGAGGCGCCCCGAGGCACCCACCCACGCCGCCCCAGGCCGCTGCTCTGACGTCACCCACGCACGGCCCCCGCTCGCGGCCGCGGCTCTGACATCACCACGCACCGCTCTGACGCCACCCACGCACCGGCCGACTCCGGGGGCGGCCCCGGCGGGGCGGCGGGGCCTGGGGTCCCCGGCTGCGGCGCGGCGGAGCGCGGCCCGGCCTCCCCGCCTCCCGCACCTGGAGCGCGCCGGCCCGCGGCCCCTCCGCGTCCTCGTCCTCGTCCCCCGCGTCCGCCTCGCCCGCCTCGCCCGCCTGGCCGTCCTCGCCGCCCTCCGCGTCCTCGTCCTCCTCCCAGGTGGAGTCGCAGTCCGGGTCGTCCATACTGGGGCCGCGGGACCCGCTCGCGGCGGAAGCGAAAGTGAAAGCGGAGGAAGCGCGGGGGCGGGGCGGGGGCGGCCGCAGGCCCCGCCCGTGAGGCCCCGCCCGCGCCGCGCGCCGCGGAGCGTCCCTGCGGGGACAGCGACCCCCCGAGGATGCTGCCGTTCCGGGAGCCCCTGCCCCCGGGTGTCCCCACGGAGGACGCCTGCCTCCGCGGAGGAAGAAGCCACCCGTGGAGATGTCCCCCAGACGATTGTACCCAGAGGATGCCCTTCGAGCAGCCACCATTTATTCCATCATGTCCACCCTGAAGGATGACCCTACGGAGATGTCCCCCAGAAGGACAGCGCCCACCCCCAGAAGAGGCTTCAGGATGACCCCCTTTAGGTCTCACCTCCCTAGGGGACGCCTGACCCCAGAGAATCCCTCTCCTGAGACTATCCCTTCTCCCCAGAGAAGTTCCTCCAGAGGCTGTCCTCTGAAGGATGCCCTCTGGTCGGTGCTCCGTGCCTCGCCACCGGGTCTGGAGTCCCTGTGATCCTGCTAGCTGTGGTCAGGCGAGGGGTGGGGGGCGCTGGGCTCCGGAGGCTGCTGACCGGTGCCTGCGCCCTCCACTGGCAGCACAGGACAGCCTAGTAATCTTCAAAGTCCTCACTCTGTCTGCAGGTGATGCCTCAGGGAATGCCACATGATATTGGGAGTGACATCCCAACGCTGCTGCCACCGGGTCAGTTGTGGGAAGTCACAGGTGCCACACTTAGGTGGAGGGACCACACAGTCTTGAAAGCCAGGAGACAGAGGTTACTGGGGTCAGCCTAAGGATGGTGCAACATAGGCTGACCCGAATAAAATGCCTCCTTAGGAATCTCTGGGGGACTGATGGTGGCTGGAGGTAGGTGTGCCTTTACACATTGGCAGTCCCAACTGCTGGGACTGGGGCCAGCTGACAGGATTTTGGTGCCTGTGGGGGACAGGTGAGAGTGAGGAAGTGAATGCAGTCTTCCCATCTCAGTCATGAGCACTCTTATTAAGGACCTCTGGTGCTGGCCCCTAGTCCCTGCTGACTTTTATTAACCTGGGGACAATCTCTCCTGGCTGAGCATGTGTCCATGTGACATACTTCCTAGGAAGACAGTACTGAACCCCGAAGCTACAGAGCTCTGGATATTTCTGCAGATTGTCTCACCGTGCAGCCAGTGCAAGGTTACTGTGAATGTGTGAGCAAGCAGCCCAGGGCTTCTGGTGGGGCAGACCCACTGCAGACTGGGAACATGGTCCTGTTTGTTATGTGATGTACAGCTGGGTTCTGGTTATAACTCCAGGGTAGGCAGGGCGGTCTTTGGTGGGGCACTAATGGTTGCTGGGACAGCTTTCAGGGTTTGATCTGGGACACCTGGATGAGCAGGCTGCCCTTTTAGTACTTCAGAGAGCAGAAAAACAGGCATGCCAAGCCAAGGGACAGTGTCTACCGCTGCCTGCTGCCAGAGTAAGAACCTGGCTACAGAGCCAGAAAGAGTTGTTTTTAAGATATTGTGCAACTTCTCTTTTGCACACACAGCCACCATGAGTTGTCCTTTGGTTTTGTGTAGTTTGTGCAGAGCTCATCTTTAGAGAGCCATGAGATGGCATTGTGTCTTCCCTGAGCATCTTCTGCAGTCAGCTGTCACCCAGTGGGGCTCAGTTTTCCAGACAGCTTTGCTGCCCTTGATGGGAGCTGAGCAGTGGCACATCTTGCCTTGTCATGCTGGAGAGGACATCTTTGCAAGTAGTGTTGCTTATGGCTCAGCCTTGCCGGAGTTTGAGGAACAGTGGAACTGTGGCTTCCCTGTTGTCCCTGGACCAGTCTGGAAGAGGTGAGACCACGCCCAGCTGAGCAGCCCTTACTGACTCCCTGCACACTGATGACACCTGAGGGAACATCTGTCCGCTGCAGGAAAGGTGCCTGGAGGTCAGGCGTGCTTGGCACACAGTGTGTCTGCTGAGGTGTCCATCTTAGCATGGACAGGCTTTGCAAACGAGTGGATCACAGTGCAGGACTTTGTGCTGTGAATTCCACCTGGTCATTCTTACATGCAGCAGGAGCTCCGGTGAGCTGTAAGGGCTGAAGAACCAGGTAGGGCCACTGGGGCTGTGGGGTGACGCCTGCTCCTGAGGGGCAGCACAAGGCGGAGGCTGACCTGTTGACCAGGCTCTCCAGTGCATGCTGAAATCCTGAAGACGCAGCTTTAGGTGGGGCTTCTGACAGTGGTCCTTGCTGGAGAGGAGCCTCCTTCCTGGTCATCCCTCAGGGTGACTGTCTGCTTCCCTTTCCCATGCTAGTTCTGGACTCAAAAGAGCCAGGATCCAGCAGCAGGACCAGCACAAATGGGCACTGAGTGAAGGTTGACCTGGAAGGAGAGAGCACATGGAGGTGGGTGGGCACTTGGGTGAACAGAGACCTTACTCTTCCCTCTGTGGGGTTTGCGGGGGGGGGGGGTGCTCCTGAGGCTGGCCCCCAACTGTCTGCAGTGCTGACCTCTGTCTTGACACTGCACAGGCCAAGGTCTTGAGTGTCAGGGTGAGCAAGGAGTCTACTGTGCTGGGACCTCATCTCAAATGGGGCAAAACTCCGTCCTTGGCTCCCATCCATGGGGCAGGATAGTATGGACAAGGGCATAGACCAGCCCAGGCTCTGCAGCTGGTCTAACCTGGGCATGTGGAAGGGAAGGCTGTGAGACCAGCTCGTTTGTCCCCACAAGATTTCCTTTCTGTGCAAGGAAACTGGATCCAGTCATATTTTACAGGTACCCTACTGCCCCACCCAGAAGTGACTGGGTTTGGTGTGATCAACTGGGACCCCATGCCGCGCCTCTTGTCACCCAGGACACTGCAGCTGGCTCAGCTTTACATTGGTATTGAGATGCTGAGGTGCATGTGTGTGTAGGCTGGTCTCCTACCACTCCTCCTCATGCCCAATGGCTGGACTGTGCTTTGTGAAGAACACTCATTCAGCAGTCTAAGGTCACAGGCCAGAGAGCAGTTTGGCAGGTGCCAGAGCTGTATGTCTCTCTGGATGTGACACATGTTCAACAAAGTAATCTCTCTGGATGGTTACTGTTTGTACATTGTATCAAGTGATGTTAACAAGTTGTTTAAGTGTGCTCTTCAGTTAGAAATCTTGGAAAAATAAAACTTCCTATTGCAGAAAAAGCTGACCCCTTTTGGTTATTGAAACCACACAACTCCAGGTTATTTTTTGTGCTTTAATGTTCTGTAGTCCAATGAAAGCATACTTCAACCAATACTGAGGCCACTGCCTCACCAGCCCAAAGGTTGCGTCTTCCCCTCAACTTCCTCATTTGGTCTTTTTGCAAGTTACTAGAATTACAAAAATAACCACTATAAATTCTCTGTATCTGGAATATAAAAACTGAGCAAAAAGTATCTCAGTAGTTATTACCTAAAAACAAAACATCTCAGAAAAAATACAACACAGGTTTAACTTCTGCAGTATTCTTTCTCATATAAAATGCTAGTAAAATAGGCTTCTTAAAAATTAAATAGTGAAATACCAACCAAATTATATACATCGTTACAGTACAAGTGAATGAGAAAAACATCCAGTTCTTAGTCTCCCAGGTAGGGAGTGGGGCACGTGGTGACCTGGGCCACATGCTCCTGATGCCTCCATGGGACAGCAGGGAGGTTTAGAAGGACAAGCAAATGCAGAGCGAGTCCCCAGGGAAGGCTAGCACTATGGTCTTTCTGAGGACGGAGTGGGGGCTGTTTTATTGCTTGCTGATTCGCAGCCTTCTCCTGGCCCCTGCCCTTGCTCTCCTCCCTGCGACCTGGCAAGGGAGGAGCTGAGCCCAGAGAAGACAGACGTGGACTTGGCGGCTCAACGTCCAAGAGGGTTGGTCCTGGTCTTTTGGGTCCCCCAGGGACCCTGACGATCTGACAACATGGCGGGAGCCTAGACAGCTTCCTGTAGATGGCCATGTTTGCCCAGGGACCTGAGGGCAGGCGGTAGGGCTTGCAGCTTGGACGACTCTGCTGCCAGGCTGTGGTGTCTATGTTCGGCGCCGCTTGGCAGCGCTGGGGCTGGAGGGGTTACTGTTAGCGGTCAGGACTTTGTCAGTGACCCGGCTGCGCTTCCGCTTGTCCGCCCCGTCTTTACACCCCAAGTCTGAGGAGCTCTTCTCTTTGTCTTTGCTGGATTTTTCTGTTGACTTCCCCAAGCTCCCTGAAGATGAAAAAACTGAGAAACAAAATCATTTGGCTGAAGACAGAATACCCAGAACCTCATTTCATCGTCTTCTCAGTTAGGAAAATCAGAATCTACACACAGGACCCCTGACCCCAGCAGGCTTCCCCCTGGGTGGGGAGCCCCTTACGCGAGGCCTGAAGAGGGGCCTCCCGACAGAGAGCCTCGGGCGTCCCACGCTAGGCTTCCAGGCTCCGCCACGACGTCAGGAGAGGAGCAGCTGAGCCCGTGGCTCCTGCACTTTGCTTTGCTGCGGGGACGCTGTCAGGACTCCTCCTGCACTGAGATGACCCTCCGTCCTGCAGACTCTACGGCCACCTGACCGCGCCCTGCGTGAGGGAGGCCTTTCGGGGAGGGCGACGGGGTGCTGTGCTCCAGCGGGTGCAGGGCAGGGTGGGGGGTTCCACACTTACCGTCGTCGGCCCCACTGTGGGGGTCCACGTCCTCCTTCATCTCCTCCTTCATCTCCTCTTCAATGACCACTTTTCCTGTGGAGGAGACAGCTGACCTTCACTGGAAACCCACGGTGGCGGCCAGCGCTGGGGACGGGTGGGCCAGGACTGCCCCGACTCTGGCTGCCCACACAGGCGGCAGCATCCGTCACACGGATGCCCTTGAACACCCACCCTCGCCCTGCCCCCCAGGCCCCCAGGCCCCCAGACCACCCCCATGCAGTGGAGGCAGAATTCCCCCCCCCCTCCCCGGAAGGCCCCTGACCTTCACGGTAACCGCCCACCCCTGGCCCAGGTCCCACCTTTTCTACTCCCAGATCAGACCTCTGTGGAGCCTCACCTTCTCGGACTTCTTGAATGATCTCTTCTGGAAGGACAAAGTTCCTCTCTGGATTCGGGAATGGAAGAATCTCCGACTCATGCTGACAGCAAATACGGCATTTTGTATTTAAAAAAAAGAAAAAACAAACAGAAAAACAGGTGTAATGTTTGCAGGTCGTAAAGACATACATAAGCTGCTCGGGGGCAACAGCAAGTGCCTCTAACTACTGGGCCGAATGGACAGACCTTCCTTCCACCTGCACAGCCTACCAAAATCTAGGCTTGGCAGACAGAAGAGGGAGGGACAGGAGGGCACAGACACCACAGGCAGCCATGGGAAGGCAGAAGGGGGTCCATACCACTGGAGGGCCCCAAGGGAAGAGCAGTCCTGCCCAGACACACTGGGCAGCTTACCCCTGTGTGACTGCCCCACGGTGTACCAAGGCAGTTGACAGTCCCTGCCCACATGGTGCCAGTAGGAAGGCCATGTGCAAAGAAGCCCAGAGAGTAAGGCAAGTGAGGAAAGGTCCTCAAGCAGACTGGGCTTCCACCTGTCCTGCATGTCCCACATACCAGAGGGGACAGGGACCTGAGAATACAAGACAATGGAACCAAGGGAAGGTTGAGTTGGCAGGAAGGTCCCTGGATGGGAGGGGATTAGGAGAGGGGCTTCCACTGGCAGCCCAGGTGCTGCGTGAAGTCAGGTGGTCGGTCTAAGTTTATGCATCAACGTGTGGTGTGCCAGATAAGGGGACAGATCCGTATTTTACAGTCCTTCCTGTCCTTAGAGGCCACTGTAGAAGACACGGGGCAGCTGTCCTGGGGGTAAATGGAAGTTCCCTGAGGACCTGGAAGGCCACTGTGCCTCCCAAGCAAGCACCTGTGCCAATCTCAGCCCAGAGCTTTGTCTTCCCTAGATGGGCATGATGCTGAACTCATCTCTGCACCTGGGCAGGAAACATCTGGGGAGCAGGTGCTCCAAGAAACCCCACAACTGGGATCCTAGGGAGTCCCGATAGAGCGGGTGGTGACCAGGGACGCACACCTGACTTGACATGCTCGTTGTGCAGGCAGGAGTGAGGCTGCTGCAGGGAGGACCTCACTGACGGCTGCATCTGGGCTACAGGTGCTGGTCACTACAGGTGCTGCTGCAAACTGCCTACCAGGCTCAGAATGCCTTCAGTGTGAGATGCCACTGGCAGCCACCACCCAGGTTTTCAGGGCATCCCTACTGGCTCCCTACAGCTACAGAAAGTGGGGCACTTGGGACTCACCCAAGGTCAACAGGCAGCATTCTCTGCTTTAACAGTGTGTACCCCAGTCTTGCAAGGACCAGCAGGGCTGAGTCCAGCCCGGAGGCTCAGATCTCCTTCTACCAGCACTGCTCTCCTGGCCCCCTGACCTCAACGCACCTCACACTCCAAGCATACTCACCTTTGAGTTCCTGATCCCACCCACTCCTGCTGCCGCAGGGCTCTGACAGCTGCCTTTCCTCTGCCAAGAACACCCACCTGTCTACTGGCCACCCTGGTTATTCAACAAACCCACCTGCCTGTCAGACACTGCCAGCTCTGGGCTCCATAAGGATGGGGCTCTCTGTGCCACCATGTTCACCTTATGTGACTCAGATAAGTTCACCTCCTACCTTAAGCACTTTTGGGACTCCCAGAGACTGACAACAGCAAGGGGCCCATGCCTTGGCACCCTGTGGGGAAAGCCCCTGCTTCTCAGGTCCCCAGTTAGTCCCTGGAAACTTGCGCTGACTGCCCAATCTCAAGTAAATTCCCTGAAAAAGTAACCAATTGCCACGATTAGACTGTGCTTCTCATGAGCCTCATCTGTGGGACCACCTCTGCTGCTCTGCTCAGCAGACACTAGGAGGTCAGCAATAGGCACTCCCCAACCCACTGGGCCTGGCCTCCAGGGAACACAGTGTGGGCTTCTTGTCTCCCCACCCCATGAGGGAGAGGGGTCCAGCTCACCAGTGCCTGCATGTCGTACATGGTACTCAGATGGTCCCAGATGACCTTGGATGGGACTTGCCGCCCAATATTCTGGCTGAACTTGTCCCGGATACAGATCATGTGGAAGTGTCGGTTTACCCCTGCGGGAGAAGAAGCAGGACAGTAGATAAAGGGGAAGGGGAGAAAGTGCTGTCCTGGAGAATGAAAGGGCAATGGGGGCTGGAGCCGGGAGGGTGGCAGTGGGGAGGGTAGTGAGTGGTAGGAAGGGTCAGGGGTGAGTGAAGGTGATGTAGGAGGGGCAGCAGTGCCCAAGGGGAAGGGCAGGGGTGTTGCAGGGGTAGGGGTGTGGCAGGGAAAGGGATATTAAGGGGGGGGAATTGTGGGCACAGGGGTTTGACAGAGGTGAGAGGTGTCCCTGGCAGCCAGAGTGTGTGTATGAGCCAGAATGTGCCAGGAGTGGTGGTGGAGGGGTGGTCTGAGAACAGCCCAATATCTGGGGCAGGGAGAACGTGTGTGGTGTCCCTGCAAGAAGTCCTTGGGAATAGGGGTGACCAGGGGCTGGGTGCCAGGGACAAGACTATCTTGGTGTAGTAGCGTCCAGTAGCGTCCCCAGAGAAGCAGAATCCAGGGTAGGGGTGTCTCCGGAGCACAGGGGCAAGGGTGTCCCAAGGGCAGCGGGATCTGAGGACAGAAGTGTCTCTGGGCCAGCAGGATCCAGGGGCAGGGGAGGGTCCAGGGGTAAGGGTGTCCCGGGGCAGCGGGGTCCAGGGGCAGGGGGTGTCCCGGGACAGCGGGGTCTAGGGCAAGGATGTCCCTCGGGCGGGGGATCTAAGGGCAGGGGTGTCTCTGGAGCGGCGGGATCCAGGGGCAGGGGTGCCCTGGGCGGCGGGTTCAGGGGCAGGGGTGTCCCGGGACAGATGTGTCCAGGGACAGGGGTGTCCCGGGCGGCGAGTTCATGTCCAGGGGCAGGACAGTCCCAGGGGCAGCGGGGTCCAGGGGCAGCGGGGTCCAGGTCAGGGCGTCCCGGGCAGCGGTCCGGCGCGCGGTCGCAGGCCCCGCCCCGCCCCGCCCCCACGCGGGTCCGCGCCCGGCGCTCACCGACGGGCTTGTGGCCCAGCATGGCGTGGAAGAGGCACACCTCCACTTCGGGGCTCCACACCACCGTCTCCTCGGCCGGGCTGGTGGCCGCCTCCCCGGGGCCCTTGTCGCCCGGGGCGCCCCCGCCGCCCACCTCGGCTTCCCCCATGGCCGCCGGGAGCGACCAGCGCCCGGAGCGAGCAGGCGCGGCCACGGGCTCCGCGCAGGCGCACTCGAAGGCGGGCGGGTACGCGCCAGGCGGGCGCGCGCGCCGTGTCGGCGCAGGCGCAAAGAAGTCCTGGCTTCCGGCGCATGCCCGCGGCGCCCCCTGGCGGCCGACTCTTCCCGCCGCACTCTGCTTGGCTCTGCGGGTTGCAGGGGGCTGGTGCAGGGCACTTAAAAAACGTTATTTTAAAAAGCGCGATGAGATAAAGAACACGGCATCAAACTAGAAAAATGAAAGAAAACTTGTGTGTCAAAGAACACTACCAAAAAAACGAAAAGATGACCCACGGGGTGGGAGAAAATATTTGCAAATCGTATATCTGATAAGGAACTTGTATCCATAATGCATAACTCTTACAATTAATATGAACACAACAATTAATCCGACTAAAATAGTCAATATACTTGACTGGACATTTCTCCAAAGAAGACATATAGATGGACAACGAGCACATGAAAAGATGGTTGGCGCCACTGGTTATTAGGGAAATGCAGATCAAAACTACATACTTGGGCATTTACAAACACACATCGATGAATGTACAATTATAATGCACCAGTAAAAAAGTGACATGCCCTTTCACATCCTCCTGGGTGACTAGAATAAGAAAGCCTGATGAGATCAGCGCTGGGGAGGATGTGGAGAAATCGAGGACCTGCAGGCAGAGACGGTGAGACTGAATCACAGGGCAGCTGTCTTTGAAAAAAGGCAATTCTTTAAGGGACTGAACGTTGTCACCATAAGATCCAGCAGCTCACCGTTGGTCCCTACCAGAGGTAAATGAAGACATGCATCTACACAAAGGCTGCCACAGGAATGTTCCAGAGCTACCCATAATGGCAGGAAGACAGAAGCAATCTAACCTCTGATGATGCCTGATGAATGGATCAAGGTGGTAAACCCATACCGTGGAGTCGTAGTAAGGAGTGGAGCATTGACACACTATAACACGGGTGAGTCTTGAATGCACTGTGCTGAGTCAAAGAATCCAGACACAACTGGTGTGGTGGCATAGGCCTCAGCAACTCAGCCAGGCCCTAAGCAACTTAGTGAGACTCTGTCTCAAAATAAAGGGGGTGGGGGCTGGGGTCGTGGTTCAGTGGTTAAGTGCCCCTGAGTTCAATCCTGGTTAAAAAAAAAAAAAAATCCAGACACACAAACACAGGGCACTCGGGGGAGGTGAACATGGGCAGTGATTGCTCGTGGATATTGGGTTTCTTTTTCTTTCAAATATTTTTTTTTAGTTGTAGTTGGACACAATACCTTTATTTTATGTATTTATTTTATGTGGTGCTGAGGATGGAACCCAGAGTCTCACACATGCTAGGCGAGTGCTCTGCCGCTGAGCCCCAGCCCTGTGTTGGGTTTCTTTTTAAAGGGTGAAAATGCTGTCAAATTAGGTTGTGTCCAGGGCTGCACAGCCTGAGTGAAACCCACCTTAAATGTACACCTTAAATGGTGAACTGCAGGGCATGCAAATTAAACCTCAATAAAGCTGCTAACACAGGCGACAATTCCTGCGGGAGTGGGGTTCTGATTGGCTGTGACTGTGGGCTGGACCAGGGGGAAGGCCCTCCTGGGCTCTGCCGGCCTTTACTGCCTACCTACACCCCTACACCCCTACACCCCTACACCCCTACACCCACAGTTGGGGTCCTTGGGGGATGGAGCAGAGGTCAACTCCAGCCCTAGTCTGGAGTTTCTTAGGTGTCCAATTGCAGGCCTGGGCCATTGGCCAGGCGCGGCGGGGCCTGGGTGGAGTTGGGGTGCAATCTGGGTGGGGCTGAAGCTAGCCAGGGTCTGAGTCCCGGTGGCGCTGAGATTGGGTGGAGCTTGGGCGGGGCGTACGTACGAGGGCTGCTCCCGGCCGAGTGACCTCCATAGTCCTTGGCGGGCACTAAGGCTCTGCCTGCCCTGCCACCTTCCGGCCAGCGTGAGCTCTGCCCCCCTGCTTTTCCAGGCCATGTCTGTCAAGGTCCTGTGGGGGACACCCCACTGGCCAAGTCTCCTGGAGGGTGTAGACTTTGGGGTCAGGCTTTTGGGTTCCTTTCTTGGCTCTGCTGTCTCCCAGCTGTGTGACCAGGGTAAGCCTCTGAGCCTCTACAGGACTCAGTGTCCTCCTCTGTGCAGTGAAGTCCACAGCGGTCCAGTGCTGGGGGCGAGGCTGTACTGATGAAGTTGTTCACTTGCCCTGGGCCTGGGCTGTGGTAGTCTTGGGTCTGGTCTCCTTGCAGCCAGGTTTGACCAACTTCAGTGAATGCTCTCCTTGAGTCCAGTGGCTCAGAGCTGGTCAACTGTCTGGGGCCTGGGCCTCAGTTTCCCACCTGTGAAGGGGGGTACTGGTGAGGTTGATCCTCACAATCTTTGGCAGAGATGTGGTCCAGTGAGGCTTTGTGAGTGACAGTGTCCTGTGGAGTGGCAGTGTGACTGGGCATTCTACCCCTGGCAGGGCCTGTGCTGGCCTCTGCCTGGTGGGCATGTGGGACTTGTCTCAGCTGGGGGCTGCAAGGTGGGGTGAAGCACAGCCCACAACCACTCTGGGTCCGGAGGTTGCAGCCCTTCCCATTATCACCTCTTTGCTGTTCCCTGGGCACCTGGGGCCCCTCCTCTGACCAGGTTAGGCTCTGTGTGCACCTGGAATCTTACGACAGGCGAGACTCTCCTTCAATCTGGAGAGCTCCCTTTGATGCCCCCTTCTCCACCACCCTGCCTGGCAGTCCCTGGGGCTGGGCAGGGCCTCTCCAGGCTCTCTGTACCTGCTGTGTGAATGTCGCACTGACCCGCAAGCCCCACACTGTCCACTTGAGACAGGTCCTGGAAGGTGTCTGGCAGCCAGGCTTGATACAGTCAGGGGAGTTGGACAGTCTGGGCAAGGGGAAATGTCCTTCTCAGCTTCTTTACTTGAAGCCACACCAGGTACATGTCGAACATACTGCACGCCCGTCTCAGGAAGGGGCAGAGCACTGTGGTCAGCTGCTTGGACTCTGCCCACTGCTCTGAGTTGACTGACCTCCTGTTTTCACACATATGTGAGCACAGCTGGGGCCAGATGCATGCAGAATCGAGAACTCTTGAGTCCAAGGGGAGGCTGTGCCTGTGGGCATCCCAGGTCCACAGTGGCTGCTGTCGGGCAGACTCTGGAACAGCACCTGCCTGATTGTGTCTGTGACTCCGCATCCCGGGAGCCTCTGTTTCCAGGGCTCTTGGGGGACCCTGCAAGGGATGGGGGTGATGGGCAAGGGCTTTCTCCAATTAAAAAAAATGTTAAGCTGGGCGCAGTGACACATGTCTGTGATCCCAGCGGCTTGGGAGGCTGAGGCAGGAGGATCACGAGTTCAAAGCCAGCCTCAGCAACAGCGAGGAGCTAAGCAACTCAGTGAGACTCTGTCTCTAAATGAAATATAAAATAGGGCTGGGGGATGTGGCTCAGTGGTGGAGTGCCCCTGAGTTCAATCCCCAGTACCATGTCCTCGTAACTGGGGTGCCACGATCTTAGGGCCTCATGCCATGGCCCCGTGGGGAGCAGAAGTGCCATGCACACAGCAAAGCCTGGTGGCTGCAGCCTGTGTGTAACACGCGGGAACATCAGGTGGGTCTGTCGCGTGGGACACCAGGGGAGGCCTCTTTGAAGGAGGTCGACATCAGGTGCTGGTGGGCAGTCTGCACACCTGTGAGGTGAGCAGCAGGAACATCAGCCTGGGAGCAAGGAGCAGAGAGAATCCAAAGACACCGGAGACAGAGGTGTCTGAGAAGAAGCCCTCTATCTAGCCAGCCTGCTTGGGTTCTCTCTCTGTACCATGTGAGTTTAGAGAGAGCACCAGGCACACGTCTGCAATCCCAGTGACCTGAGAGGCAGAGAGGGGAGGCCAGCCTTAGCAACTTAGGGAGACTCTGTCTCAAATTGAAAAATGAAAAGGGCTGGGGATGTGGCTCAGTGATAAAGTGCTCCTGGGTTCAATCCTTAGTAAACCTTGCCCCCCACAAAAGAGAGAAAACAGTAGTGTTCCCGGGGCTGCAGCGATAGATGGGACAATGCAGAACCCTCTCCTGTGCATCCTTGGCATGAGGGGATGTTTTTGTTCCGGGGATTGAACTCAGGCACTTGGCCACCGAGCCACATCCCCAGCTCTATTTTGTACTTTGTTTTTAGAGACAGGGTCTCACTGAGTTGCTTAGCGCCTCGCTTTTGCTGAGACTGGCTTTGAACTTGTGATCCTCCTGTCTCAGCCTCCCAACTGCTGGGATTACAGGCGTGTGCCATTGAGCCTGGCTATGAGGTGGTTTTTTGGACCACACAAGTGAGATGCCTATTCAGAAAACTGAACAAGAACCTCTGATGGGTGGCCTCTTCCTGATCTGGGTCCATCATCTTTCCCAGCAGACAGGAGGGGCTGTCACCTAATCAACATGTCTTCACTCCTACCTCCTTTCTTCTTTTGGTTTTGGTACTGGGGATTGGACCCAGGGGTGCTTAACCACTGAGCCACATCCCAAGCCCCACTTTTCAGTTTTATTTAGAGACAGGGTCTCATTAAGTTGCTTAGGACCTCATTAAGTTGCCGAGGCTGGCTTTGAACTCTCAATCCTCCTGCCTCAGCCTCCTGAGACACTGGAATTACAGCCGTGTCAGACCATGTCCAGCTCCACTTTCTTCTTGTTTAGGAAAAATCAATGTGATTAAGGTTCCAATATAGTTATTTGTTTTCTCCAAAGAAGCCTGTGGTCTGAAGAAATTAAATGTTGGTCTTCAGAGGACCCACTGGACCTAGGACCCCAGCATGGAGCATCCCCAGCCTCAGCCCAGGCTTGCAGCTGCACATCAAGCCTGTAGGGGGCGCTTACCACCCACTGCTTGACCCAAATCACCATCCTGTCTCTGAAAGTTGCAGGCAGAAGCCCAGTAGGGGCACAGCCATCCGGGGATTTGGGGGCCCTGTTCTGTGGAGCCTGTCCTCCCAGGGCCATTCTCATCATTTAAAAAAGAAAACCCATGGCTGG